GTACTTATAAGTACTTACAAACAATATAACAAGAGCAGTGGCGTCGAATATATACTTCGAACAGGCCACAATTTTGCCTATGGCCGGCTCTGCGCATACACACTTTGCAGGCCAGGATATTGTCCACCTACTTGAGTTAATTTACTTATTAAGTATTTACTAATATAACAATTTCTTCTGTTGTTTAAATACGGGATTATCACGTATATTGTACTTTAGTTTCATAATATGAGACTTTATCAATGAAAACATTATTCATAAGTTGATATTATTAATAGAAACCATTCTTCTTTTTTTTCTTAACAGGCCCATATCAAAATTTCTCGTCAGCAATGTGGGGGCGCACTTGTCAGTCAGAACTTTGTGGTGACCGCAGCTCATTGTGTCCACAAGTAAGTTTTACCAAGAATGAAGATTAATTAAAGTCGCTCTTAAGACTAATAAGTTGGTCAGTACAAACTTATTTTGTCCTCGAGACTACCGTGAGTTGGCCTAAAAACGAGTGAATTAACCAAAGTAAACTACAACTTCCATATAGAAAGTAACCCGAGGAAAACAACTAGCATAAGAAGTAAAATAAGTCGACAAACCAGAAGTAAAGTAAGTCTTTAAGGCAACAAGCTAAATGCACCAATTAGTTTATCTTTCTCTGGATAAATAGGCTGCGTGAAGCCATTATTGAAGTTTGCCCTTAAGAAACATAAGTGATTAAAACCTTACATTGATCATACTTAAAAGAAGTAAAATGACTAAAACTTACGTAGGCCATGATTAAAACAAGTAAGTTTATTAATAATATTATAGGTTGCCTTCAAGTCAAGTTCACTAAGATTGGTATATGTCGTATTGAAGACGACTCCACCATATTAGTGTAGGTCGTCTTCAAGACAAGTTTACTAAGATTAGTATATGTCGTACTTAAGACGACTTCAATAAGATTAGTGTAGGTCGTCTTCAAGACAAGTTTACTAAGATTGGTATACGTCGTATTTAAGACGACTTCACTAAGATTAGTGTAGGTCACCTTCAAGACAAGTTTACTAAGATTAGTATATGTCATACTTAAGACGACTTCACTAAGATTAGTGTAGGTCACCTTCAAGACAAGTTTACTAAGATTGGTATATGTCGTATTGAAGACGACTCCACTATATTAGTGTAGGTCGTCTTCAAGACAAGTTTACTAGGATTAGTATATGTCGTACTTAAGACGACTTCAGTAAGATTAGTGTAGGTCGTCTTCAAGACAAGTTTACTAAGATTGGTATACGTCGTATTTAAGACGACTTCACTAAGATTAGTATATGTCGCATTTAAGACGACTTCACTAAGATTAGTATATGTCGCATTTAAGACGACTTCACTAAGATTAGTATATGTCGTATTTAAGACGACTTCACTAAGATTAGTGTAGATCGTCTTCCAGAGGAGTTTACTAAGATGTAGTAAATTGAGTTTACTTTTATAGAGCAAGACTGCATGAGATAACTGTGGCTCTGGGCGTGTACGACATCCAAGATCAGCGTTACCAAAATCTGCCTCCTCAATACTTCAGTGTTCGAGAGGTCAAGATCAATCCCCACTTCCGCTTCTCCGCATCACACCCTGACCGCTATGACGTGGCCTTGCTACGTTTAGATCGTCCGGTCTATTTCCAAGAGCATATCCTTCCCATCTGCCTACCTCCGTACGGTCGGAGATTTGAAGGATTCAGTGGGATCGTGACAGGTTGGGGAAAAACAGATTCTGCTCTAAGTAAGGATTTGTACATATCACGAGAGTTGTCATAACCTTTATGAGTTATTTGTACATAAATATTGTCTTTCAAAGAACTGCGTCTATAACTTATAATGAAGAAAAAACGACGCTCCGTATATAGGCAAATTAATTGACCTTTGATGCTGTTTAGAACTTATTTTGGAAACTTGTATAATATTTTATGACGAGTATAAAACACAAATTACGAGATAAAGGTCCACATGGCTTCTAAGAAAATAATAAGTTATGAAACGAAAACCAACATGGTTTCCACGAAACCACAAATCTTTAACAATTCTTGATAAGATTCATTATTGTAAGCTTTTCTAAAAATAAACGGATGATTTCAATACCAAAACATGAGTTAAAAGATGTCTGAAATTTCACTTCGTGTAACATGAGTTAAAAGATGTCTTAAGTTTCACTTCGTGTAACATGAGTTAAAAGATGTCTGAAATTTCACTTCGTGTAACATGAGTTAAAAGACGTCTTAAGTTTCACTTCGTGTAACATGAGTCAAAAGATGTCTTAAGTTTCACTTCGTATAACATGAGTTAAAAGATGTCTTAAGTTTCACTTCGTGTAACATGAGTTAAAAGGTGACTTAAGTTTACTTCGTGTAACATGAGTTAAAAGATGTCTGAAGTTTCACTTCCTGTGACATGAGTTAAAAGGTGACTTAAGTTTCACTTCGTGTAACATGAGTCAAAAGAAGTCTTAAGTTTCACTTCGTGTAACATGAGTTAAAATATTATTTATAAGTTAATAGATAAATGTAATGAGACAGACTGTGTTTTGTTCCTCTCCAGAGAAAATACAAACCCTCTTTGTATAGCAACAATGCTAAAGAGTGTGGCTAGACAGTGTGAAAGCTTCATATTTATCACTTTTGTAATAAAACATTAACTCCAAGCTTACTGGTTAAACTCTTCCTTATCAGTTTCGTTAATTTTAACCCTATGCATGTAAAAAAGGATGGATATGATGACTTTTTTGCACATAAAATTGTGCTATATCAAAATATTATGTTTTGGTAGGATATTTTTGTGTCAGAGTCGACCTTTGTTTTTGTTTTTTTTTATGTTTAAGAACTTACAATGCTAAAATCCTCACTTTGAGTCCTCGTGGTAGGCAAAGCATAGACAATCTATTGTGTAGCTTTGCACTAAAACAAACAGTTTTTTTTTCTATAACGTATGTTTGTATGCAAATTTCCGCTTACGTATATAAGTAAATAGATACGGTATGATTAGGTACATTATTTCATCACCTAGGCAATAGATATGGTACTCGTGTTCTCCAGAAAGTCGATGTTCCTGTGATCACAAACAGAGACTGTGAACGGTGGCATCTTAGCCGAGGGATCAACATCCGGATCTATCCGGAAATGATGTGTGCAGGATATGAACAAGGATTGAAAGACGCATGCGTGGTAAGCTGTTTCCGAAATATCATATGAATTTAAGAAAGCAGTTTCGTTGTCTTGTTTGTTTGTTTTAGAGCATAATGAACCCCGGATTTTAGCCTTGTAAGTTCATAGACTTACCCCCGTCCCACCGGAAAACGTTTTGTCGTTAGAGAAATTTAATGGTTCATTGTAAAATATTTTCTTACAACTGTTACATCTATTGAAACTTTATATTCAACTGAATTAAACAATGAATGGGCTTGAATTTTTATAGGAAACAATTATTAGTAGTTATTTACAGTAATTAACAATGAAAAGTAATTTGTCATTGAATTTGGTATAATATAGAACTTCAGGTGTAGTTTAGTTGAAATTTAATAGACTTTGCCAGGAAAATATGCCTATAAGTTTACTATGATAAAAAAATCAGTAATCGAAAACGTATTTTTTATCAATCCAATGAAATGTTGTACCTCCCAGTGGCTCGGGGTTAAATCTAAGGGATTATGACGCTAAAACTCGGGTTTCGATACCCATGTTGGGCAAAGAACAGATAGCCCATTGTGAAGCTTTGGGCTTAATAATAAAAACAAGAACTGAAATATTGTTTTTGCTCATTAACTTACATGTACAATAAATTCAGTTTTCAAAAACAACTGAATCGATCTTAATCTAACAGGACTTACAACACAAGAATCCGGGTTTCTATACCCGTGGTGGGCAGAACATACGTAGCCCATTGTGTAGCTTTGTGCTTAACTTCAAACAAACAAACAAAGTATGCTAATATATGTATTTAAGAACCAAATAGATGATATTCTTAAAATAATGATAAATAGTAATGAGAATATAAAAACAAAATATGGCAACATAAATATGCAGAACTGTCTTGTCTCATTTTAATGGCCTGTCCACCTGAAAGCACGGACACATATTGCAATATTTTCAAACGGCGTGTGCGTCCACATGTTTTGATTAATTCCATATAGAAAAAAAAAGACATACCGATTGGCCGGTGTATAAAACGATCCCGTGTATAAGACGACCCCTGTATTTTTTGTGCAAATTGAATGTATTTCTTTGAGGTTCGGTGTATAGGACGACCTCTATTTTCAAGCAAGTCTAGGATGTTACTTTTGTAAAGAAATCCTTAGAAGTTATTTTTAAACCGTCCTAACCTGCGCTCAGGAGGTAATCAGTACAACCACAAGTGTTTTGTTTTTCTTTGTTTGCTCTTCAAGCGCTACAAACATCTCAATGTAGCGTGAATGAAGTCACAAACATGTAATAAACAACTTTATAAAGCTTTCATCACAGTTGAACTCCTTTTATATTACAAAAAATACTAAACTTTAAGATATAGTGATCTACTATAAATACATGTTTACAAAATTAGTGTACGTTACAGAAACTAACATTTATGTATATATAATACTAGCAATATTTTAGTATGACGGATGAGATCAATACATTTTAAATAAAAAATATCTTGAATAACAAGCATGTGAGATAAATAGCTTCTAGTTATGAAGAATCGAGACAACTGATACAATTACAAATATGTTATTGTAACGCAATAGGTGGCACAAACTTACTCAAAAAAGCGAACAAAACTAAAATGAACAACGTAGTTTTGGTTAAATATGCTATCAAATGGAGAGTTCTTACTGGAACTCTATCTCTGAACTTGTATCTAAAACAATGGGTAAAATCAGGCAAAAGGCAAATTTCAGGTTAGTGCTACCGTAATTGTTTATCCTGCTTTAGTTTTTGTGTTATTTTATACGGCTCACGTATGAGAATTTTCATCTTAAACACTTTATCCGCACACAGGCTAAAAGGTCAGATCAGAGAACCCTGGGGTTAAGATGTAATCTTCCTCAATTAGAATTACTGATCAGAAGGTATGGTTTGCTTTGAATTTCGTGCAAAGCTACACGAGCGTTATCTCTGTTAGCTGTCCCCAACTCAGCAGTGACAGATTAGAGGGAAAGCAGCTAATCAACATCGCCCACCGCCACCTCTTGGGCTATTCTTTTACCAACGAATAATGAGATTGATCGTAAGATTATAACGCTCCCACAGCTGAAAGGCGAACATATTTGGCTACGGGGATTCGAACACGCGACCCTCAGATTGCCAGTCGAGCGCCTTAACCACTAGGTCATGCCAGGCCTCTAACCAGATGGAAAACAACAAGCACTCTCGCCACCGCAATGGCTTTGTCCAGCTTCCGACCGAAGAACGCACGAGAGCTAAAGAAAAGTGCGGATCTTATTCTGCGGCTAGAAGGCACGAATCATGGACCTTTAGGTTAGCAGCTCGTCACCTAGTCTTATGGGCCATACTGCTAAGATATTTTAACATTTTGTTTTAAAGTATATATATTTTGATGACAAATTTATATCTGCTATATGACTAATATATATTTCTAAAGATATAATATATAGTCTGTGATCTGTGTCACTTGCTGAAGAGTAACTCCAGACATTGGTGTTACGCGCCATGCTATACTTGCACTTCACTTTCCCTTTTTATGGCATTCAGTTTTATTTAGGCTGTTCTTATTTCTATCAGGAATTGACTCTCACCAATGTAAACATAACAAATTGCTGTTTATTCTTGGTAATCAATAACACATAGATTTAGGAATAAGTTTTGTTTCTTACTGGCATCATATTATTAATGTAAACATAACAAATTGCTGTTTATTGTTGGTAATCAATAACACATAGATTTAGGAATAATTTTTGTTTCTTACTGGCATCATATTATTAATGTAAACATAACAAATTGCTGTTTATTGTTGGTAATCAATAACACATAGATTTAGGAATAAGTTTTATTTGCTGTTTATTGTTAGTAATCAATAACACATATACTTGGGAACGAGTTTTGTTTCTTACTGGCATCATATTACATTCTTCCTTCGCTTCTCTCGGTTTATTCGTTCTCTGTCACATCTCTCGGTCTTCTTTTTCATTTTCGTTGAACTCCTGTCTTTTATATTCCTTTGTTAAACCCATGCAGACCAGGTCCCTTACCTTGTGAACTTTCACCTATTTTCTGTGCATCGGATTATAATGTTTCATTATCATAGGGGAAGAGGGGTTGGATTTGTAATCTCCACACTGTATGAACGTACAAAGGCGGCCATCACTCCAATCATTTTCTAATGACTTAGAGTACTGTAATACCCTAATTCCTCAGAGAATGATAAAAAAAAAACGGCCACTTTCTCATACCTCTTAATCCCACACAATACTTCATAATAATTTGGTATGTACTGAGGATATTAACTTAAACAGTATTTTCTAAACAGGGTGACTCTGGAGGCCCCCCATCATGTATCTTAACAACCGGTGGACGTTGGTCGGTATTATCTCTGCAGGATTTGGTTGTGCGGAATCTAGGCAACCAGGAATCTACCATCGTGTTTCTTCTACCGTAGACTGGATAGCTGCCAACATCTAGTAGCCTAGAACCAGGCTGTTCTCACTGTGATATGTGCTATCTCAGGGTGTCATGCCATCCATATAAGCTTCCACCTGTGTTGAGTTCTGTCTAACATTCGTTATCAACTTTTGAAAAGAAATAAACAAGTATTTTTGTCCTAGAAGATGAGTTATATTGGACGCAAAAAAACAACAACAAAAAACAATTCAACGCTAAAATATTCGTGGTTGACTTTCATAGTTTGATACTTTGAATAAGGTGAGGTCTTCTTGAGGTTAAATTGATTTTAGGTAGAATTTGTTAATATTTCTTTAAGTGACAGGTTGATGGAGACTAGTTTAGAACAACTCTAGTTATGAAAGAAGTTATTTTGGAAACTGATTTATTTTATGCAGAACGATTTAGAATGTTTCTGTTATAAGAGATTCAGTGAAACTTGCTGTTCAATGTTGTTGAATCAACAGAAATACCTGTTACCCCATGACTGAAGACGTTGAAGATAAATGTGTCTTATAGTAAATGAACAATGAAATTTTTTAAGCAGAGAGAGATTTTCTCAGACACAATCTACGTATACGAGATAAATGCTTTTATAATATGAAAATGGATAAGCTATAAGAGTAAATAAAAAATTTGTAAGCTACAAATTAAACGTTTTCAATCTAACAAAACGATAGTGCATAATATAAAGAAAACACAGAGTCCAAGTCTGTTAATCAACTTTACTAGAAGTAAATATTGATTGCTAACGTAAATGTCCCTCTTCAGGTATTTCTGAGGAAGAGCAAAATAAAAAGTTACTAAGATAAAATATTGAATGAAAAATTATTTCATCTCTAAGAAGATACAGGGAACTAAACAAAGGAGACTAGCTGCAAAGTGAGGGGAGTAAACGTGTTTTATGGGAGAGGTATCTGCAGACGTGGTACCAAAACCTTCACCTTTACCAAAATGATGTCGAAAAAAACACAAACACTTAGGTTTGAAAAAATGAATGTTCATATAACCACGCTACACCAAATTACGAAACAAAGGTTGCTTGAAAAAAAAGTTAGCGGGGTTCGTGGAAAGCCTGCTTGGAGAACTATAAAAAGAAACGGCATTGCAAAGTAGTAACGGGAGCCTGAAGAGGACTGGAGTAAGTGTAAATAACTTGTTCATCATCAGAGAAGGATAGCAACGTATTTTTGATGAGAAGATGAGAATACGAAAGTTAAAAAAGAAAAGATAATTCAAAATTAAAATATACCATTTCTATAATCTAAACTTTAATTGGTATTTTCAAAGTATTCCCATAATTTAAGTAATAATATTGTTTACTTGTTTATAGAAAAGTTTACTAGTATGAAATATAATGTAAAACGTATTCGAACCAAAAAATAAAAAATAAAGCGTGAGTTATAAAGTCATTGTGGTGGTTTTACATTTAATAATAACAATATAATGTAAAACGTATTCGAACTAAAAAAATAAAGCGTGAGTTATAAAGTCATTGTGGTGGTTTTACATTTAATAATAACAATATAATGTAAAAC